TTCTATTTTAATACAAATGTGTTTTTACTCTGATCATTTTAACTCTGATTATTCGCGCTTTTTGATAACTGACAAAAGGGGGGAGAAAGAATGATATTTTTTAATAACGGATTACTGAGACATAAGTCTCAAAAATTCTAACATCCTTATATATTTGATGTTCTGAAAAGCTTACAGGTACAAGAATCTGATGAACTCTGATAAAGTACAATTCTGATTCTCCAAGAAAGTTCAGTAAAGTTCTTATGCTCAAGGTCTCAAGGAATCAAAGGGAAATAATCAACTCGGGGGGAGTTTTTCTCATCATTACTCTGATACTTTTTATTCCTTATCCTCTTAGCTCTGATACTTTTTACTCATTATCTGATTATCTCTGATACCGTTTCCTCTTTATCCTTAAACTCTGATACTCTCATCATTTTATTTTAATTGAAAAAATCTGGTTTTTGTCATCATCAAAAAGGGGGAGATTGTTAGAACACAGTTTGATTCTACAACCCTCAGTTAGAGTTTTGATGATAACAAAATACAAGATTAAATGAATTATGAGATTTATATAAGTCATATGTGCTACTCAAAATTATGTTGTGTATTCGCAGGAAACTCTGATGGAATCAGCATCAGAATATCAATATCAACATCAGCATCAGAAGATATGTCAGCACCAGAAGATCAACATGTGCTTACGCTGAAGCCTGATGAACATAATCTGCGCTTAACATACTCTGACTCTGATCAAGATCCTAATCATGTCATCAGCATTCAGAAGCGCCAGAATAAGCTAAAGCCAAGAACACTCTGATTAGCATTAGCATAACACTCTGAAGTTTCAACGTTACTATGCATTCAAGGCAGATTAATTACCAACGGCTTTATTCCAAGACAAAGATCTTCTCAAAATGGAAAGAAAGCTGTGAGCATTGAAATGAAGTTATGGACAACAACGTATCTATTCCAAGGCTATATAAACAAATAAGTGAGAAAAGAAATGGCTAATATACTCAATAATCCTTACACACGTACATACGCATAAGCTAATCATCTTCACGTTCTCACTCATCCAGTTTGTTAAAGTTCTCAAGCGCTTACTCTATAGCTCTAGCAATCTAGTATTATCCAAGCTTAATATTGTGTATTATCACAATTGTGATATATAGTTTTTGTAGAAAACATCAAACACATTTGTTCATTTATCTGTAAGAGAAATTCCTTGAGAAACCGGTCTGTGGTTAGACTCAAGAAGGCTTTAGCAGTTGTTAAAGCAGTTGTTTGTATTCAGTTGAATATAGTGGATTAAGACCTCGTTGGAGAGAGGCGAAATCACCTTGACGGGTGGACTGGAGTAGTTTGAGATCAAACGAACCAGGATAAAAATAACGTGTTGTCTGCATTTGATTTCAAGTTTCAAACAATTCAACCCCCCTTCTTGTGTTTTTCACATCTTCATATACTACCTGAGCAAAAAGTTTACCGACTGTGAAACAAGATATTCACTGCTCGAGAAAACTTGTTGCGCTCTGGCATGGGCTGCTCGCCGGCTAAGACAGTATATGTTGACTTACACCACTTTATTTATTTCTAAGATGGATCCTATCAAGTATATCTTCGAGAAGCCAACTCTCTCCAGACGAATATCTGGATGGAAAATGATCTTGACTGAATACGACATCCAGTATACTACATAAAAAGCAATCAAAGGAATTGTGTTGGCAGATCATTTGGCCCATCAAACTGTTAATGACTACCAATCCATGAACTTTGAATTTCCATATGAGAATATCATGCTAATGACTGATTGTGAGAAGCCTAGACCGTATGAAGGACCTGAACAAGATCCCGATGGAGTATGGTTTTTGATACAGCTTCCAATGCTTTAGGTAACGAAATTGGTGATGTGATTATTTCCCCTGAAGGTGGCCATACGCCTTTCACTGCCAGGCTTTTCTTCGACTGTACAAACAACATGGTCGAGTATGAAGCATGCATCTTAGATCTTAAAGCTGCCATTGAACTAAGAATCAAATTCTTAAGCGTGCTAACACCTTCCCTTTTTATAACCTACCCCACGAACTAAAGAGAATTCTCAAAAGGTCTTTCATGTTCTTTTCACCCTTTCCTTTATTGGATAAAAGAAAAGTCGGTGGCGACTCTTTCTATCCGCAACAATTTCGATAAAACACAAAACACACAAGTCAGTTCTCCCACCGTATTACAATGAACATCTTAGGTCAAACTTGGAACTTACTTCTCAATAATGAACCAAACCATAAAAAGAACAATGATACAAAGATATTTAACATGTATTAATTTTCAACCAAGTTCATATACAAAATGATTAAAAGAAATACATAAAGTCTAGGTTGACTACTTCTAACCTTGACACAAAAAGTGCTTAGCTACTCATGATCATGATACCTTGATCAATGAATAAATAATGAGTGTTGATGAACATCAATCTTCAATTCTCCTTGATTCAAGATGAAAGAGTGTTGGTTTTCTTCTCCCCCCAAAAGATAAGAACAAAAAGTGTTTTTCTATATTATAATGTTATATCCATAGAACAAAAGGTTTCTAACTTTAAAATTAGATTTTTTTCCCTCCACAAGATAAAAGTTGGTGAAAAGTTTCCATAAAAGGTGGAAAAACGTAGCCAAAAAGTATGGTCATCTGCGCACCATCGTCGGGCGACCATAAAGCATCGTCGGGTGATCCTGGCTAGATGCCACACGTGACCAGCTGGGCGTGATAAAACTCCAAAAGAACATCTTTCATCGCCCGACGAAAAGAATTTTTCGATGGGAGATCCTCCTTTCGCCAGGCGATCCAGAAGCGAAGCAATATAAAATTGAACCATCTTTTTCCACTATTTTCACCGGGCGATCCCTTGCAAAATCAACACCTTTACTTCTTTTGCTTAGAAAGCATAAATTCTCCCTTTGGTCATCTTTTCTGCACAAATTTTGCTGAAACACTAACAAACAAATTAAACATTCACAATTTTTTGTACTCAAGCAAAATGACTTAAAATTAGTATTTAACCTAATCAAAAGTAAAATAAAAAGTTTGAAAGTGTCAATAATTGATATTAACTTTATGCAAAAGTTGGCACTTAACATTGGTTTGATTGTACCCATTTATTGGGCTAGAACCCCAACCATTTCATGATTGCTATCATTCATTTGTTGTCAAAACATTGTTGTAGAATTCGTTGTTCGATTAGATAATTCACAGTGAATCATGGGGGTGGGACATTTTGACCCGTGTTATTAATTCATGGTTTTGATCCTTGTAGTGGTGAAAATGTTGACGTTCTTGGGTCAGAAAATGTGGATGCACTATTGTTTAGGCTTGTCATCACAAATGTTAGCATGCCATAAATCTACTTGCGGCCTTTCATTAGCATTGTGAATTCATACGCAAAATACTTGAAATTGTTCGTTCCTGGTGGTCTTGTGTTCGCTAGGGAACCCTGCGTATGCACTAGGGATAGAACTTGACCGCTGAAAGCATTTTTCAAAATCCCTGTTGTAATTGCTTGAACATGTATCGATTTGGTTGCAAATAATGCAGCCATACTTTCCCCTGTCGAATGGGGGTGGTTTTTCTCTATTGTTATTGGATGGGTTAACCATTTTCCTAGTGTATTTTCTCTTGGGTATAGGTTCGTTAGTTTTGGATAATTTTACACTCCTCAATATCATACAACAACGTCAAACAAAAGAAAGAATACACACAAAACAAAAATTTATGACACAATTTCGACAATGGTCCCACTTGGCGTGCCAATTTGTTTACCGTGAAATTTTTTGGTTACTCGCAGGATCGACTAGATTGATCCTAAGACATCTGTCTAATATTGTTTTGCTACTGTTTATAGGTATTTATTCTATGTCGAAAAGATAAATATAATGAAGGTAAAAGTAAAGACAAAGGCTTGAATATAAAGGTAAAAAGGTTTCAAAGTAAAAACTGAAATGTAAAAGAATTTGACTTAAACTTAAATGAAAAGTAAAAGACTTAATTTAAAAGTAAATAACTTTGAATATAAATTGGTGTTACTATACGTACATTCTCAATGACTCTTTTCTCTAACACTGGTACTCTGAGTTTGTTTGAGTGATTTGTACAAAAAGTAAACACACTTAATCCTAATACAAAGATCCTAATTTATACTAATTTGATCCTAACGGTATTTCTCTACAAGAGTGCCACGTTCGAGTCTTGCAGGCTTCTTCGAATCTTCAAGCTTCCACCCGTCTTTCTGGATAAGATCAATCCATTTGAATTCAAATCATTCTTCAATTCGAAACGCCAAAACAACATGACATGTCGAAACATTTTAAATTTGAATCTTCACATAACTTAAGTCACATATATTCCACAATAAGACTTTTGCCATCATTTAACATAATCAAACTGTCCATAATTTGGTCAGTCAAAGTTCTCTTATGAAATATTCTCATATTCCTTTTAAAACTTAATTTCCTTCTAATTTCTTCATTTCTCTTCAAAATCATATGTCGTCGAAATTCTCAACTAACACTTATATATAACAAACTCTCTTGACAAATTTTCTATGAGAATAATTTCTTTGTAGTTTACTTTGACTTTTGCCTTCTTTATTCAAAATAAAAAATTACAAAAGATAATGATCAATTATATTTGAAACAAATAAAATATTAAAAATAAATAGATAAGCTAAACTAATAATAATTGCTAATTATTATTATTATATTATTATTATTATTAGTAGTATTATTATTATTATCATAATAAATAATAATTGATAAATATTCCGTGTAACGCAAGAAAAACCAAATACACTCAGATCGGAAAAAAAACACATTTTCATCTTCTATCTCCGATTTGATCCCATCTAACATCTTACCCAGATAAAAAAAAATTCCATATTCAATCAAACAATGAATCAATCATCAACGATCATTCAGAGATTAATTATATAACTCCATGCATGTTGAATTGGTTAGTGGATTTTGACAATGTCGAATTTGTACGGTGATTACAACCTGAAGATCGATTACGTTTTCAAGGTTGTATTGATTGGTGATTCCGCAGTTGGAAAAACTCAACTACTCGCTAGATTCGCAAGAAATGAGTTTAGCGTTGATTCTAAGGCTACGATTGGGGTGGAGTTTCAAACCAAAACTTTGATTATTGATAATAAAACTATTAAGGCTCAGATATGGGATACTGCAGGGCAAGAAAGGTATGGATTTAATTCATATCATTATTATTTTTCTTCAATTATTGTTTCTGATTTTGTAATTATGAGTTATTCGATCAATTCTTCAAAGGGATGTTTCTTTTTTTTTTTAACCGTTTTTTTAGGTTATGGTGATCATGTTATATGATAAACAAATGTTCTTTGAACATCGAGTTGGAAAATCTAAATTTCACAACTTTCAAAATGGTTAAATAAGTGTTAGGTTTGATTAATAGATATACTCGTTTTGCATCAAATCCTAGCTCAACTCCGAGATGCAGATATCATTAGGTTGGACTTCTTTAGTAGGGTTTGAACCCTGGTACTCACGGTTGTGTGTTTGAGTTTTCTGGTTGTGTGTTTGAGTTTTCTGGTGCCTATTAAGCTACAGGCAAAAATAAAAACATTACAAATTTTGGCACTTGTTATTCATGTAATGTACCTCAATATAATTAACCATGATTTTTCTAGTGTTCATAGTTGGAATAAGCAAAATCATGATTAATAACTTTGAAATTCATGGTTAATGAAGTTTAGTTGGTTGTTAATGAGTAATCCAATATGTATATCATTAACCTCTTTAATTAAAGTGATCAAACACTATGAAACATGAAAACAGACACCTCTGCGAGTAGGCGTGTTACGGAGTCTAACACGCGTCAGGATCCTATATGTAGCGGTGTTGGTGTTTTGTATTTTTGACATTATCGGTGTTGAAGTGTATGTGTCATGTTGTATTTTGTATTCTGGTATACGAGTCAGAGTTTGTTCTTTAAAATGTTTTTTCACATTCATACTTTTATATAATTTGCATTTGACACCTTTGATTACCTAGTATTAGAGGGAAACAATAGATCTTTTACAGAAGGTTTAGAAGCTCGAGCATAATAGTGTTGTCTCCTACAACTATAAATATAAGTATTAAGAGGATTGATTTTATCATCTAAATAGGGTAGCGGCGCCGTGCGTTGCCTGGTTGCCTTTCATTTCAATGTAATTCTTATTAATTCAATATGTGATTTATTATGATTGACCACTTATTGAACTTTGATAACCATTTTTTTGAACTGCATTAACTATTTTAAAATATGTTGAATTCAAGTGTCTCGAATTGATGATCAAATAAGATTTATACATATGATGATATATGCAAGATTTTAAATAACGGTTGTTGTCGTGTAAAGGATTTTGCGATTTCGGTCGATACATGTGTTGTGATATCGACTGCGGTCATCGTGGTGTGAATTAATTTCATTTTCATCATTAAAATTGTGAATAATGGTATCACTATTGGTATCGACATCTTCCGATACTATTTTGTTGCAGTTGTTTTCACGGTAACAAGCCGTTTTTTAAAATATTGGAGATACGGGAATAGTATCTTGATCTCAATAAATGTTGATTAAACTGTTAAAATGGTGATGTTTTCTGGGCATGTTAAAGTTGACAGGATAATTTTAGGATGTTTCTGTAAATATTGATGATGTAAAGCTTTTGGCATTTGTGTTAACAAGGCTTTTATAGTGTGTGATAGTAGTAATAGGTAAAACAGCATGTCTATTTATTGTATTGAACACTGAAGCATATTTGTATGATTCTATTTTCTTGAACAGATCTATAAAATCGGTTTCATGATCATATAATCAAGATCTGCATTTAGAAATTCGATATTGAATATGATCTTACACCGATAACTGTTAGACGTCATTCATTGCACTGACTTCAGGTACAGGGCAGTTACTAGTGCATACTATCGAGGCGCAGTTGGGGCAATGATAGTATACGACATGACAAAGCGTCAATCATTCGATCACTTGGCGAGATGGTTGGAAGAATTAAGAGGTCACGCAGACAAAAACATTGTGATCATGCTAATCGGCAACAAATGCGATCTGTCTAGTCTTAGAGCAGTTCCAACAGAAGACGCGGAGGAGTTTGCACAAAGAGAGAATCTCTTCTTTATGGAGACCTCGGCACTTGAATCGACCAACGTTGAAACTTGTTTTTTAACTATATTAACCGAGATATACAGAATCAATGCAAAGAAAACACTCAGTTCCAATGGTGATGTGGAACAAAATACCGCAGGACTTATGAAGGGAAGTAGAATAATTGTTCCTGGTAATGAAATGAATCCAAAAAAGGGTTGTTGTTTTGCAACTTAGGTTTTTTTTGTATAATTTGATTCTTCTTGGGAAGCAATGCATATTCTTGACTTAAGTTCTGCATTGCTATGAGATTTTGTAGAGAGGGTAATTACTTTTCTATGTGATTTTTCCTTTAGGTTTTAGCCACATTGAGATTATGTATTTAATTATGTTAATAGAACCTGTCCCTTCTTCATTATTAGGTCTTGAATGGAAGCTAACAACTTGCTAGGTTTTTTCTATGAAGCAGAGACACGGACACGGTATATGACACTGACACGTAGACAACGGTAATAATTTGAAAAAATGGATTAATGGAACATGATCACAAGTGTTGGTGATGTGTCTGTTAGAAAAAGAAACATTTCAAAGTAATATACAACCTTGTGCCGGATAATGTATTCCTCCTCTTTTTCGGTTGAACTTATCGATTTCGTTGTCCAACAGACACATAAACTCAGCCTCAGCATTTCCATCAGGTATGAGCCTTACAAGCCTTTTCAATTCATCGTAGGACAAGAACTTGTCACTCCACTCTGGCTGCTTCTATTTGATATGATCAATGTATAGCTTTGCAAATTTCATAGTTTTCACTGAGATTACTGCTCTAAAATGGTTTGAAGGATAAGATAAAAAATGTGAACTAGGAGGCTTTCTATTAGATTTCATCGGAAAAAAAATTAAATATAGATAAAAATAAGGAGTGGATAGAACATCTAACAAAGTACAAAATTTGTGGTTTGAGTTCTTATAATATGTGCCTAACTGGAAAAGTTAAGAAAGCAAAACACTACAGGTTACTCAACAAAAAAGCCCAAAAAATTATATACCCCACGGTCGAAGATATGTCGCAAGTGACAAATAAATGAAAATTTGACTCTATCATGCCTCCACACATTGAACAAGATATTTTTGTTGGGTCAACCATTATCCTTCGCTTAAACCGACTCTCTTTAGATGGGATTCTCAACTTGGAGAAAAAAAGAGAGAGAAAAGAAAGATTATTAAGATACAATTTGGATTGATAAGCAGAGGCAACAATGAAAATTCCTCACTAGTGTGACGCCATTGAAGCGGTGAGAAATACAAGAAAAGAGGGGTTTGAATTGTGTTTTAGGATTTAAAAAAACTTTTTTCCAAGACAAAACAAAGAACACAAGAACAAAAGTAAATGACACAATTCTTTTTATCTTGATTCACTGCTAACAAAGTTAATTCAGTTCACTCGTCAAGGTGATTTTGTCTTCTCAAACAAGGATTTAATCCACTATAATCGAACTGATTACAGACACAACAAAGACCAATTGTCAAAAGTTGCAAACCACAAAGACTACCCGTCAATGTCTTCTTGAGAAATTTTGACTAACACTTAGTCTCTCAAGGAACAATCAACTTAAGAGTTAAAATATAATGAGTGTGTTTATAAAGTTGCTTCTTGAAAGCATATTACACAAGTTTGAATATAATAAAATAACATAACAGTGTTAATAGCAAGTTAATAAACAAAAACTCATTGCTTGCAAGTTAATGAACAAAAGTTCTTTGCGTTTACAAAATATTACAAATGAATATTTGAAATAGAGTTCAGCAGCGTTTCAACATAAGTTTTACAGAGAATGAGTTGTTGTCTTCATTCTTTGAAGTGTTCCTTTTTATAGCCAAAAAGAAATTTGTTGGAGGGTAGAATAAGATTACTTAATTCTAGTTGTTTTGTCCATAATGGTCAGTGAGAGAGTGATAGACAATATAGTACCATAATACAGTCCTTGCGCCACCATATCAGGGTAGTGGAAACATTTGTACCTTATATTATTCTCTCACGTAAATTAATTTTGATCTTATCTTCTATTCTGGACTGGCCCGACAACTTGATTGACCCAGTCCCAAAGATCTTCATGGGTCAACCCCACCCGACCATAACCCAGATCGCCCGCATGGCTATGCCCCCTGTCGGACAACGACAACCATTTATCCTTCTGAACCGGCGCTGGCCCATGATGATCGACGAGCACCCTCTCTGCCTTCCCGACACCAACGTCGTGCAGGACACCAGGAACCAGCCAGAGTAATGTCCGTAACGAGTCCCCTCTTCAAAACCAACGGCTAGTTACGGGCACATTCGCACGGTCTGACCAAGTTCTGGCAGTTACCTGATTTTCTGGACTCACATATCTAGGCGGGAAATCAGGAAACAATGGCCAAGCGCCAGAGGCATTATATAAACCCTCATACCTGTGAGGGCCAGGTAACCGATATTCACTACTCACTACCTGATATTTCTGCTTGTACCTCCCTGTTTCCGCTCTTACTTGATCGTTGGAGTGCCTTGCAGGTACAACTCCCCTTTCTCCTCAGCATACATCCTGACTGAAGATCATCCTCCGGCCACTTTCCAGGTTCTGATCAACTGTCAAGATCAGTGGCGCTGTCTGTGGGAATCTGCTATCCCCATCTTTCTTCCCCCGGAACCTAAGATCAAAGCAACTTTTCTTTCAAGATCCATCTCTCTTATCATGGCCGACCATGATGATCTTTACATGCCCGAAAAGACCATTCTTTCCTCCGCTCGCAATACTGATGGAAGCCAAGAACACCCTTACATTGAGGACAACCTGGGCTTCCGTGACGGAAAAACCGCATCCCCTTATTCCGTTGATGCCCGACGTGGTGACGACCAACTCCTGGACAAAGGATATTCCAAGAATCCTACTGAGGAACTTCCAGAAATCTTGCAACCAGTTCATATCCCTCTCAACGCCGACTCAGCCATGACGGAACTGCTTGCTACTATAAATCAGACCAACGCCCTCATCCTTCAACAAAATAAAAGGATAGGGGCCTGGGAGAACAGACGCTCAAGATCTCCTCCTCGGAGAGCCCGAAGACGAAACTTCCCCAATACATCACCACCCAGGAGTGGTCCACCGCCCAAAATGGAGAGGCGTAACGTTTCTTTCTTCAAGAAATGCAATCGCACACCTCCCCCAAAGATCAAGACTCCCCTTTGTTCAAGAAGAGGAAGGACAACAGGAAAATCAACCGAGCTTGACTGCCCTCTCTCGAGCCAAAGCAAAAACGAAGGATCCCCTCCCCGCGACAAGACCGTGACAATGGACGGGGGAGAAACTATCACTCTCCTTCTCCATCTCCTGTCAATAGTGAAGATGACGAGCCCCGTGGCCCGCTATCGAGGGAGACCATCGAAGCTCCGCTCCCTGTCGGTCTGGAGAAGTTGCCCACTCTAGGGACCTATGACGGCACGATAGACCCTAACGAGCACATCGAGAACATAGATGCCCTCCTCGATTACAGAGGGGTAAGGGGAGACATCAAATGCAGACTATTCCCAACCAGTCTCAAGAAGGGGGCGATGGCATGGTACAAAAGCTTGCCCGACGAATCCATCACCTCGTGGAAACAACTCGGGAGAATGTTTTCAAGGCATTTCACTGCCTCCTTCCGACACCCTAAATCATAAGCTTCGCTCGAAGCGATCATACAAGGCAGGTACCAGTCTCTGCGTGCATATATTGAACGCTTTAACAAAGAAGCGGTCCAGGTCCCGACAACGGACAACATGAAGAAATAAATACTCGAGCACGGACTTCATCCCCGCAACGAATTTTCCAAGGCTGTGGGCATAGAAACACCAGCCACGCTCGATTCCCTTCTCCTGAAGGTCCAGGCATACATACAGTACGAAGAGAAGGAAACGACCAACAGTGCCCGAGAATTCAGGCACAAAGAGAGTACCAAACCCTTAAAAAATGATGAACCCTCGACATCCCGTCTAGGGGAGAAGAAACTTGAAGATAGGTCTTGTGATCCTAAAGACTATAAGAAGTCGTCCGATCATTTCGACGACTACACCCCCCTGACAACCTCAAGGGAGCGTATTCTTTCTGAATGCGCTAACTCTAAATTCAAACAAAGTGGGGTGCGCTTCCCCTGATAATCACCGTCAAAGCCAGGAATCGACAAGAGCAAGTACTGCAGGTTCCACAAGAGTCACAACCATAACACATAGGATTGTGTTCACCTCAAGGATGCAATCGAAATACTAATCAGAGACGGGCACCTCAAGTAGTATAAGAAAAAGGTGGCCGCCTGTGACGAAGCACCAGAGACCAAGAATGTCGAAGAAGGGAAGAAATCCCCTGACCTCAATACCATTTCAGTCGCCTTGAGCATCTAACGGCCAGAAGACTTCTGCTTTCCGAAAATGGAGAACGTCCCCCTGTACTTCTCCACCCACAGTCCGTGGGAATCCTTCCCCGCAACCATGGTCATTTCCGGTGGAGGGTTCAACAGGCATACGATTGGGTCGGTGAAGAGAAGGTTCGACCAATTCATCGAGGCAAACTCTGAGATGGACGCCACGCTCGATAAGTTCTAAGGTGGATCTCACCCCCTCGCATTCTATAGAGAAGAGTTACCGGGAGGAGCCCTGAATTCAAGCATCCCACTACTCATGAGGGCTCGGATGGCTAACTTTGACGTGCGTCATATTTTGGTCGACCAGGGAAGTCCGATGGACATCATGTATGCCCTACTGTTCAACACTTTGCAGCTAAACGAGAGCCACCTAATCCCCTACGTGGGTTTTGGTCTTCAAGGTTTGAAAATGGGCCAGCACAAAACAAAATGAAACAAAATGAAATGAAGATGAAATAAATACAAAAAAATTTCTACATGTGTCACTGGATGACATAAAAGCTTTGCCTGATGACAATTATTCAATACAAGGCCCTAGTTGCACCACTTACCCAACTGGTCTTAAATATATACCCTCGCCCGAAGAAGTGAACCTTTGTCCTGTGACATCCTTATTTCTCGCCCAACGAGCTACTGGAGAGCTCAAGTTAGTGGCTATTAGAAAAATGATCATTTCCTCTCGCCCCTCCGTCGCCTGGCGAGGCAGACGCGAAGGCTCCTCGCCCAGGCTTCGCCCTACGAGGCACACCAGAACATCAACTTTTGTTGCTCTTCTTACATAACTCTAATGGCTTTCTCTTCTT